ATGTGATTATTTTACTGATTATTTCATAATTTATTTTTCATTTGTATTAAATTCAGAGAAATAAAAACATAAAAATCAGCAGAAAGTTCTGAAAATATTAAACCCAGTTTAAGGTTCTTACTGGTTTGGATGGTTAATCTGGTTCCGGTACCAAAGATCATCTTCCCTGTTCCTCCTCCGTAATTCACACAGCAAGAGAGCTGCTGACAAGAACCGGGCCGCACAAGAACCGGGCCGCACAGAACCGGGCCGCACTGAACCGGGCCGCACAAGAACCGGGCCGCACTGAACCGGGCCCGCACAAGAACCGGCCGCACAAGAACCGGGCCGCACTGAACCGGGCCGCACTGAACCGGGCCGCACAAGAACCGGGCCGCACAGAACCGGGCCGAACCGGTTTAGCCTCAGAATAAACTCAACATCCAGAATCGGATCAGATTTTTATCAACAACCGTTTTTAGGTTTAACTGCATTTTAACTAAGTTTTAGTTTTCTAAATCAGAACCGGAACCAAACGGACCCAGAACAGAACTTTAAGGTTCTACTCTGTACCCGTCTATACAGACAATAATCAACACTTACTGGTTTCAGTGGTTAAACTGGTTCCAGCAGCAAACAGAAGCTTCCTCTGGTTGGATCCAGTCACACATCATGAAACATCCCAACATAAACCAGTTCACCCAGTTCACCCAGTTCAAACTAAATTATAGTTTAGTTTTGTCATCTTCAGGATGAATTTGATATGAATCAAATATTTAAAGCTTTTTAGCTTTTTAATTCATCATCGTGTTTAAACTTTTACTATTTTTCCTTCCGTAATTTTATTTTTAAACATTTGACATTTAAGTTGTAAATGGTGTCAGAACTCACTGGTTTCACTGGTTAAACTGGTTTCACTGGTTAAACTGGTTCCAGCTCAGACTGGATCTTGTTTGTTCAGAAAGTCTGGTGTTAAAACTGAAATTTATCAAATATGAATTATCAGTTAATATAAATTTTGACATTTACCTGAAATATGAAACAATTTTGAAAATTAACATTTTCATTTAAATCTTGAAAGAATTAAAATTTTAATGGAAACCATTACTTACTGGTTTCAATGGTTAATCTGGTTCCACTGGCAAAGATAATCTTATTCTGGTTAGTACCAGTCACACAGCATGAAGCTGCCCAGCATAAACCAGTTCAACCAGTTCAAACCAGACAGATAATCCTGTTTTAACATTCATCAGTTTCTCTGTCGCCTCCACCGAGGATCAAACATTTATGTTCATATCAATATTTATATTGTTTAAATTTATTTATTTAAATTTCTTACTGGTTTCAATGGTTAATCTGGTTCCACTGGCAAACAGCACTGGTTTCGGTTAGCATTAGTCACACAACATAGCTGCCCAGCATAAACCAGTTCAACCAGTTCAACCAGTCCAAGACTGGAACGGTTCATATTAATCAGTTAGTTTTTACACTGTAAACCCTCAATTTAAAATATTAAACTAAAGTAATTTTATAAATTCATCTTCAGACGTATTACATCAGAAACCAGTCTGAACCAGTCTGAACCAGTCTTTTAATGGGAAAGCTAGTCAGTACTTACTGGTTTCAATGGTTAATCTGGTTCCACTGGCAAACAGCAGCTTGCTCCTGTCTGCACCAGTCACAACAAGAGGCTCCACAACGTAAACCAGTTCAACCAGTTCAAACCTTCCTGATCTCCAAGTTTAACCAGGATGTAAATTGGAAACAGAAATTTAAACCAGATTAATATTTAATTATCAGTTATTTTTTAATCTATTAAATGTTTTTATCATTTTAACGTTTTTGAGTTTAATCTTGTTAAAAAAAACATTTAAAATCTGCTACTTACTGGTTTCAATGGTTAATCTGGTTCCACTGGAAAACAGCAGCTTGTTCACACTGGTTCCAGTCACACAGCATGAAGCTGCCCAGCATAAACCAGTTCAACCAGTTCAACCATTTAAAAGCAAACTTTCCACCACCAGTCTAATGAAACCGAAAATAAAATTTTATAAAATCTGAGTTTATTTTCTAAAACATGGATCTGGGATTAATATCTATACTTATTTATATTTTAAATAAATCAAATTTTTTTAATAAAATTGGATCCCGGTTCTGTTTGGTTCTGTTCGGTTCTGTTCGGTTCTGTTCAGTTTTGTTCGGTTCTGTTCGGTTCTGTTCAGTTCTGTTCGGTTCTGAACCGCAGCCCAGCTGGAAATTATATCCTGAATTATTTTCTTGTATTTTCATGTTTTAATGTTAGCGATAAATTTAAAATGTTATTTTCAGAAGCAACACTTACTGGTTAAACTGGTTAAACTGGTTAAACTGGTTGTTTAAATTTAGCCTCCAGTTTATTTATGTTCGGTTTATTTCAGTTAAATATGTTGACAGTAAATATTAACAAAAAGGTAAATTGATCAAACTGTTTTTAACTGGAAATATTAATATTAAATATTAAAGACGTTCATTTAAATGATATTTCTGATCTTACTGGTTTCCACCATCAGTCTGGTCCCAGTTCCAAAGTGGATCTTATACTGGTTGTTAGTCCACAGCAGGAGGAACCAGTGCATGAACTGGGAGCTGCAGAACTCCCAGTACTGAAACCAGTTTCCCCATTATTACAGTTTTATCAATATTATGTTTTCATCCTTTTTTTGCTCCAGTCAGATTTTTTAAAGAAGCAAAACTGTAAAAAATGTCATTTTGGATTTGTTCTAATTTTTGTCTTGGATCATTTTTATAAGATTTTAAAGATTTTTTCAGGTTTTCTGATCACAAAATGTTTTAAATTATTAATATTTCTGAACTTATAATGAAATTATTGCATAGTTACAGTTTCAAAGTTTTGAATTTTTATTTAAAACGAAGCAAAACATTAAAATCTGATTTCAAACTGGAAACCAACCAGATTAAATTCAGAATATTTTGGATCATTTTGATGATATTTCATTTCTCTCAGGTTTTCTGATCACAAATTAAATCATATTGAATAAAATTGATATTTCTCAACTTACTGGTTTCCACCATCAGTCTGGTCCCAGTTCCAAAGTAGATCTTATACTGGGAACCAGTCACACAGCAGGAGGAACCAGTACATGAACTGGGAGCTGCAGCATAAAACCTGCTGCAGCAGCAGCAATGCAGACATAATCAATTATTTTATCGATTAGTTATTGGAACCCAGACCCAGAACCAGAACCAGACCCAGAACCAGAACCAGACCCAGAACAAGAACCAGACCCAGAACCAGAACCAGACCCAGACCGAGAACCAGAACCAGAACCAAACCCAGAACCAGAACCAAACCCAGAACAAGAACCAGACCCAGACCCAGAACCAGAACCAAACCCAGAACCAGAACCAGACCCAGACCCAGAACCAGACCCAGACCCAGACCCAGAACCAGAACCAGACCCAGAACCAGAACCAGACCCAGACCCAGAACCAGAACCAGACCCAGAACCAGAACCAGACCCAGACCCAGAACCAGAACCAGAACCAGAACCAGGAAATACCTCCTGATCAGTTTTACTCTCAGAACAAACAAACTGGTTTTACTGGTTTTACTGGAGTTTTCTGTTCTCACTGGTTTCAACATAGCATGACGGTCCAAACCCAAACAGAACCGGTTCTGATCCAGATTGTAATGTGAACAGAACCGGGAAGCAACGGAACCGGACTTACTGCTGGTCACCAACAGCCTGGTTCCGGATCCGAACAGAACCCGGTTCCCTCCAGAGGAATAAGTCACACAGCCAGAACCGTCAGAACAAAAACCCGAACCGGGCCCAGACCCAACAGAACCTTCAGACACAACCAGCAGCACCGGTTCGTCCATCAGTGAACCCACTTAGGAGCAGAACCAACAGAACCATCTGAAAGACTGAGCCGAACAAAACCACAGAATCGGACCCTGAGGAGCCGCTGACCAGAACCATCGGTTCTGATTTAACCCAGTTAAGACTCATGCGACCCAAACTGGATCAAACTTACTGGTTCTGACGGTTAAACTGGTTCCAGATCCAAAGAACATCTTGTACTGGTTGGTTCCAGTCACACAGCCTGACGGCCCGGACCAAAAACCCAGAACTTTAGGAACCACCAGGTTCTGACCCAGATGACCGTCATCTGGGTCAGAACCGAACCGAAAATGATTCCACTGGTTCTACTGGTGCTGAACTGGGAGCTCTGGGTAATTTCCAGAACCAGTGACCCGTTAGTCTGGTTCTGTTCAGCCCAAACATTCAGGTCCAAAGTTACAGTGAGGAACCAAACAGAACCAGGTCCAGTAGTCTGGTTCTGGTTCTGTAACCGGGTCAAAGTTCTGTAGAACTTTATTTTCTGAAATGATTTGATGAAAATATGAAATATGAAACAATCAGAAATATTTCACATTATTATCTTTAAGAATTAGACCAGAACTTACTGGTTTCACTGGTTAAACTGGTTCCAGTCCCAAAGGTGATTTTATCAGAACTTCCAGTCACACAGCAGGAAGATTCATGACGAAAACTAAAACCTTTTATTCCCACATCATCAGTTTTAATCATTTATTCATGATTCTGATTATTTTTACAGTTGAACTTCTGGATTATTTAGAACAATAAAATAATTCATGTAATTTCTGATTATTAATCCTTCAGCTGATTTTATTGGAAGTTTTTTTTGTTACTGGTTTCGATGGTTAAACTGGTTCCAGGTCCAAAGACCACCTTGTCGTAGCCTCCAGTCACACAGCAGGAAGGTTCATGACAAAAACTAAAAACTGTTTAATCCCACTTCAGATTTTTATCATCAATATTTAGTTTTCATTTTATTAAATTGCAACAAATGTTTAAAATTCTGATAATTTTCTGAAAAATCATTTTAGAGAATATTTTACAGTTGAATGTTTATTTAGAACAATAAAATAATTAATGTAATTTCTGATTATTAATCCTTCAGCTGATTTTATTGGAAGGTTTTTCGTCTCTTACTGGTTTCGATGGTTAAACTGGTTCCAGGTCCAAAGTTCATCTTTTGAGAGTTTCCAGTCACACAGCAGGAAGATTCATGACAAAAACTAAAATATAGTTTAAATCTTTGATTATATTTCATCACATCAGTAAAATGATTTTTATAACATTTGTAAAAACTAAATTTTATGTTTTAATCTCATTAAATTAAATCACATTTAAAATTATTATTTTCTAACAAAAACATTTAATTTCTACGTTATTTTTACAGTTAAACTTTAGATTTATGGCAACAATAAAAGATAATTTATCATTTTTATTTTATTTTCTTCTTTAAAGGTTTTTCATCTCTTACTGGTTTCACTGGTTAGACTGGTTCCAGTTCCAAAGATGGTTTTCTGGAAGCCTCTGCCAGTCACACAGCCAGGCAGATGAAATTCAGAATAATCCAGATTAAATTCAGAATAATCCAGATGAAATTCAGAATAATCCAGATGAAATTCAGAATAATCCAGATGAAACTCAGAATTTAATTCTAACATTAAAAGTTTTCAGATTATTCTGACTTTTGTTCTAATCTCTCTTCATTTTGTTCAATATTTCGGCGTTTTGATCATTTTAATCTTTAGCTTCCTGTTTTTTCATCTCTTACTGGTTTCGATGGTTAAACTGGTTCCGGCTCCAAACAGCAGCTTCTGCGCTCCAGTTTTCACACATCATGAAGCTTCAGGACAGAAACTCAGAAACACGACGACCTGCTTGGATTATGGTTTTAATCTGCATCTAAAATAACTGAAATAATCCAGGATTAAATATGAACTTTGATTTTTCTGCTTCATTTTTACTGAAATTTGTTTTGATTTTTAGCTTAAATTTATTTTTTTTTTGATTTCCAATAAAACTTCAGCTTCATATTTACATGAATTAATCAGATAAAAATGTTCAGATTGTTTCTTAAATAAATCCAGTTTGGTGAAACGCAGGTCTTACTGGTTTCACTGGTCAAACTGGTTCCGGTCCAAACTGGATCTTCTGTCCGTCGTTCAGGAAACGTTCTGGGAATTTTTATCTGAATTTTTCTCAAAATCTAAAAATCTGATCTGGAAACATTTTCACATTAAATTAAAGAACTGGGAAACGGATCAGAACCGGATCAGAACCGGTTCTGCTGTTTCAGCTTAAACGTTTCAGCCTGGACCCGGTCCAGAGGTTCTGTTGGAACATGAACAGATGAGACTCACTGGACCCGACGCTCAGCTTGGTTCCAGAACCGAACAGAACTTTATCGACGGCTCCAGATTTCACACAACAAGAAGCTTCAGAACAAAAACCGCTGGGCCAAACCGGGCTTTGGTTCTGGTCCAAACAGCAGCTGGATTCTGAACCGGAGAGAAAATCTGAATTTATTCGACTCCGAGATGAAAGGCCCGGTTCTCCTGGTTCTGAAACTGTCCATGTTCCTCCAGAACCGCTAACAGAACCGCTAACAGAACCTGGTGCCGTTCATGAGTTTAGCCCGACCAGAACCCGTCACCAACCAAAACGGTTCTCCCAGCCGACCGGGTCGGTTCTGGTTCTGCCTCTCAGAGAAGCTGAAACCACAAAGCGGGCTCAAACGGGCCGGTTCCGACTGCAGGTTCTAGAGGAGAACAAACTCGGAACCGTTTTATTTTCAGACAGAAACCCAAATTCTGCCAGAACCAGAACCTTAACTGGACCTCAGTCCAGAACCAGAACCAGATCCAGCAAAACGGTTTCTGTTCATTAATAAATCCAACAAGCCCAGGTTCTGATCGGGTTCAGACAGAGACCCGGTTCACGGAGCAGCCTGGTCCAAACGACCAGAACCAGCTCGGCTCATTTTACTGGAAATTCACATAAAGTTCTGACCCGGTTGGACTCGGAGCAGAACTCCGTCTCCAAAGAGCATCTGGTTGTTTCCTCTCGTCACACAGTGACAGACGGCCGACCCGAAACCCAGAACCAGAACCAGAACCGAAACCCAGAACCAGAACCGAAACCCAGAACCAGAACCAAAACCCAGAACCAGAACCAGAACCAAAACCAGAACCAGAACCCAAACCCAGAACCAGAACCAGAACCGAACCAGAACCAGAACCGAAACCCAGAACCAGAACCAGAACCAAAACCCAGAACCAGAACCGAAACCCAGAACCAGAACCAGAACCGAAACCCAGAACCAGAACCGAAACCCAGAACCAGAACCAGAACCAAAACCCAGAACCAGAACCGAAACCCAGAACCAGAACCAGAACCGAAAACCAGAAGCAGAACCAGAACCGAACACTAGAACCAGAACCAGAACCAGAACTCAGGCCCGTTTGGACTTTCAGAAGTTCTAAATTTATTCACCAAATTTAAAGTTATTAAAAAATTCTGTCTTTAAACCCAAACAGCCTCAGAGTGACGGGCCAGAGGTTCTGAAGCATCAGAACCGGTCCCTGATCAGAACCGGTCCCAGATCAGAACCGGTCCCAGATCAGAACCGGTCCCTGATCAGAACCGGTCCCTGAAGTTCAAATTTCAAGCTCCTGTTGCTGAAATAATTGGACCAAAATGTCCAGAACAGAACTTACGGTTCTGAACGGTGAGTCGGGTTCCGGGTCCAAACAGCAGTTTCCCATAAGCAGAACCAGAATTCACACACCAGGAAACATCAGAAAAAAACCGACCGGGTCCAGACGCTCCAGAACTCGGTGATCATTTCAGTTTGATAAAAATCTAAATTCACAGAAAATTTCAGTTTGTCTCTTTTTTTTCTCCACACTTTTCAGATCTGAAGGAAAAAAACTGAAAATCTTCAGTTCTGGTTTAACAATCTAAAGTTTTTCTGATTCGTTTTTATTTGTTAAACTGAATCCGACCCGTCGGTCTGCTCCAGAACCACAACCAGAACCAGAACCAGAACCAGGCATCATCAGAACCGGGTCGGGTCATTTTGGACCTGAACCGACCTGAAGCGACGACGAGTCGGGTTCCTGCAGAGAACAGCAGCCGGCCAGCGGTTCCCTTCACACTGTGACTGAAGCCAGAACCAGAACCAGAACCAGAACCAGAACCAGGTCCGGTTCTGATCGATCAAAGCCTCGTCATGAACTTCTGTTGGAATAACGTTTTCTGATCTTTCCAGGATCTTTGAATCAAATCGAACTGGATCTGAGATTCACAGCGTTTCAGTCAGAGAAACAATTTAAAACGTTTGTTTTCTCACCGGACAGAACCAGGAGCCGGGATCCGGGTCCAAAGCTCAGCCGCTCAGTGTTTCCTGTCACACTGCGACGCACCGCTCAGCAAAAACATCCGATATTCTGGATCAATATGAAACCTGATCCAGCGACGCAGAAATGGAGAAAACGATGAAGCAGGTCAACGTTTTCTGCTTTTCTTGGTCCAATAAATGAACGAGTGTAAATCAGTCAAACAGCTGATGGATCAATAACAATAACTGATCATTTCAAAAGATCAAATAAAGTCTTAAAACCTCGGGAGGAAAATCATTTTCTCCGTTTTTTTTTCTTTGAAGCAGAAAAGCAGAAAGTTTTACTCACGGTTCTGAACCAACAGTTCGGTTCCCGGTCCAAAGACGGTTCTGTATCGACCCTGAGCGGTCCCACCGAGACGCTCAGCAAGAACCGGGCCGGACTGGGAACCAGTTCAGGACCGGCTGGGATCTGAGCCTAAACCCGGTTCTGAAGGTCCGTTTCCATCTGGACTCTGTCAGGTTCTGCAGAACTTCCTGGGTTTTAAAGCCAAACTGGGTCTGATCTGAACCGGACCGGTTCCGCGGCCGGTTCCATCTTGGTTCTTTTTCTTGTTGCTGGATCCAGTTTTTAATATTTTACCAAACAGAAACATTTTAATCATCATTAAATTATTTTTGTAGAACTTTATTTCAATCTTTTAAATGCTTTTAGATCCAGTTCCGTAATAATAATCATGAATCTGTTGGATTTTCTTGGTTTTTCTGTTTTGTAAGTTTCTAGTTTTATTCCTGCTTCATTTGATGAGTTTGAACTTTTTCCAGTTTTTCTGATAATTCTGATTAAAACGATGAAACATGGATTTAATGTCCAGCTGCTTCTCTCTCCTGTAATCCGACGTTTCTCTATAATATTCTGCAGCTGCAGAAACTAAAATGAATTCATCTGAAAGTGAGATCAAATGTTTGCCTCTCACCAGCTTCAGTGCAGAGTTTGTTTCCTGTGCTGAGGGAAACCGATCCGGTTCAAGTCTTTGTGTTTTATTCCTCCTGATGTCATTTAAACTCAACTTTAATAATAATTATTACTGGAAAAGAAAAGATTTTCATCTTCTGCTGTTAATAGTTTAGTTTCCATCGTGAAAGTGTTAAAAACTCAATAAATGAACAAAATAAAAACTGAATAATTCTCCAGACGTTACTGAAATAATCCCGACTGACCTGGTTCTACAGACAGTTTGGTTCCGGGTCCAAAGTAAATCCTGTAGTTTCCTCCCTGAGTCACACATCGAGTCAGACTGAGGCACAAACTGCTGCGTTTCTGTTCTTCAGTTTCTCTGTTTGTCTCAGTTCTACTTTAATTTTTTTCTTTGTTTCCAATCTGTCCATCAAACATCTATAATCTGGGAAAATGATCAATAAATCTATAAAATGAGCTAAAGCTCAGTTTTGACCAGGATATATTTTCTTACCGTTCTCTACTCTCAGTTTGGTTCCTTTTCCAAAATACATTTTTTCAGCTCCTTGATTCACACAGAAATAAAAACAGTGACAAAACTGTGGTGACCTTCAGAGGCCAATAATCTGGATTATCTGGTCCTAATCTGTACCAATAAAACCTTCAATTTGTCCAAATCGTCAGTTGGTTCATTTATATTTATTTTTGGGAGTCAGTATTTTTGTTTTCAGTGTTTTATAATTTCAGAACCAAGTTTTCCATTAGTCATAAATTCTGTTCATAAATTAAGTTTATAAATTCATATTTTTCTTCACCTTTTCATAAAATCTTGAATAAAATAAAATCTGACCTGCATCGTCTCTTCCTCTGAAATCCAGAACATCGAGGAACCGAACCCACGTTTAAAGTCCAAACGGTCCCAGGATGAACTGATGGGGGCGCCAGCGAGTCGTGAGCCAATCAGGCGTCTCTGGGCTCAGGCTCCGCCTCCGTTGAACCGCCAGGGCCTGGAAATGAATCGACAGCACTTGGATCGGTCCTTAAAGCGTCTCTACGTGAAATACAGTGACAGGGAAGAAGGACCTGGAAAGTCTCCTGGAAAGTTTCCTGGAAAGTCTCCTGGAACTTCCAGGATGTATCCCAGCAGAAATTCCACCTGTACGTTTCACAAAGCAACTCATCCTCAGAAAGCTGCAGGCCGGGACGCTTCAGGACGTTTCCAAATCTGGAGACGTTTCTGTGAAGCTTAAAGAAAATCTCAGGTAAATTCAGAATCACCTGTAAATCCTGGCTTCACTCAGCATCTCCAAACGAAACTATGATCTGCATGAAGGTTCACCTGAGACCCGTTATCTGTTCATAAATAATAACTTAATGAAGGAGATGAAGGAGGGATTTCTCTGAGCACCATGCGCTCAGTCGGTTGGTCGGCTCATGTTCTGGATCCTGGATCAGTTTTAGTCGTTTATTTTAGTTTTGTCTCTTCAGATAAAAAACTTTCATAGTTTGTGTTGAAAGGCAGGAAACTGATGTGACCCGTTTCTGAACCAAACGTCACCTGCAGAGGAAACAGCAGCTGCTCCACAGGGTTCTGACCCAGAAGGTTCTGAGCCAGAAGGTTCTGACCCAGATGGTTCTGACCCAGAGGTTTTGACCCAGAAGGTTCTGACCCAGATGGTTCTGAGCCAGAAGGTTTCTGACCCAGAAGGTTCTGAGCCAGAAGGTTCCGACCCAGATGGTTCTGAGCCAGGAGGTTCTGAGCCAGGAGGTTCTGACCCAAGAGGTTCTGACCCAGATGGTTCTGACCCAGATGGTTCTGAGCCAGAAGGTTCTGACCCAGAAGGTTCTGAGCCAGATGGTTCTGAGCCAGAAGGTTCTGACCCAGATGGTTCTGACCCAGAAGGTTCTGACCCAAGAGGTTCTGACCCAAGAGGTTCTGACCCAGATGGTTCTGAGCCAGAAGGTTCTGACCCAGATGGTTCTGACCCAGAAGGTTCTGACCCAAGAGGTTCTGACCCAGATGGTTCTGACCCAGATGGTTCTGAGCCAGAAGGTTCTGACCCAAGAGGTTCTGACCCAGGAGGTTCTGACCCAGATGGTTCTGACCCAGAAGGTTCTGACCCAAGAGGTTCTGACCCAGATGGTTCTGAGCCAGAAGGTTCTGACCCAGATGGTTCTGACCCAGATGGTTCTGACCCAAGAGGTTCTGACCCAGGAGGTTTCTGACCCAGGAGGTTCTGACCCAGAGATGGTTCTGACCCAAGAGGTTCTGACCCAGGAGGTTCTGACCCAGATGGTTCTGACCCAGATGGTTCTGACCCAGATGGTTCTGACCCAAGAGGTTCTGACCCAGGAGGTTCTGACCCAGATGGTTCTGACCCAGATGGTTCTGACCCAGATGGTTCTGAGCCAGAAGGTTCTGAGCCAGATGGTTCTGACCCAGATGGTTCTGAGCCAGAAGGTTCTGACCCAGATGGTTCTGACCCAGAAGGTTCTGACCCAAGAGGTTCTGACCCAGATGGTTCTGAGCCAGAAGGTTCTGACCCAGAAGGTTTCTGACCCAGATGGTTCTGACCAGATGGTTCTGAGCCAGAAGGTTCTGACCCAGATGGTTCTGACCCAGAAGGTTCTGAGCCAGAAGGTTCCGACCCAGAAGGTTCTGACCCAGAAGGTTCTGACCCAGATGGTTCTGACCCAGAAGGTTCTGACCCAGAAGGTTCTGACCCAGAAGGCATCATTTGGGTCGTCTGTTGTTCCGTATGCAGACGGTGATGTTTGTTCTGGAATCATCGCTGCAGCTACAGAAACTTCGACACAAATGTTTTGATTTCCATACGGATGAGTCCAGATTGTTGAGTTGGAACATAAAAACTGTAAAGTTTGGACCGACCCGTGTGGTTCTGGTTCTGGTCCAGTCGGTCTCCCTCGTCAGAAAGAGACGCAGGATCCATCCCATCAGTTTGATGTTCAAATCTAAAATCCAACAGAAGCCGTTTTAATTCTGACTAATAACGTAAGTTGATAAAATAGCAAGAAAGATGAAATGTTTCATAGGGTCACATTTTTTAAACTATCTGAATGTTTTGATTGGCTGACCTCTGATCAGAATTGAAACTGTGCATGATGTTAAATGCCGTCCATCCGTCCGTCCGTCATCCTGCTTCTCATGTTCAAACTTCTGCTGCCTGAAGAGATCCGTCTGTTTTCAGAAGAGCAGATGTTGCTCCTGGTGTCTGAGGCTCACCACTGCCCCCTGTTGGCCAGGCACGGTACTTCCTGCATTTTCAAGGCCCAGTTCAGATCAGAAAGACTAAAGGTGTCCAACGTTCATTGGAGATGTCAGACTTAAAGAACCTTAAAGTAGAAAACGTAAATAAACTAGAACATTGGAGACATGAAGACAGACATGCGCCTCTGAATTAACTTCAAGTGGGAAATTAGATTTTCTCTCATCGCCGTTAGCATCTCCCTTATCGTTACCTGTGAGGACTGCAGGTGAGGTCCTGCCTCAGCTGCCTGCAGGTTGTGGTCAGACGTCTGAGGATCTTCAAGGTTTTTCCTCCTTTTATTGTGACTGAAGCTCTGCACATGTTGCAGCTGGAAACATCACTGAAATGCAGCTAACCGTTGGAGCGTCTGTGGCGAGACGCCATGTTGGAAATAATATAACCCTAACGGGGCTGTGCAACACGCCACCAACACGCCACCAACACGCCACCAACACGCCACCAACACGCCACCAACACGCCATCAACCCGCCACCAACACGCCATCAACCCGCCACCAACACGCCACCAACACGCCACCAACAGGCCACCAACACGCCACCAACAGGCCACCAACACGCCATCAACCCGCCACCAACAGGCCACCAACACGCCACCAACACGCCATCAACCCGCCACCAACAGGCCACCAACACGCCATCAACCCGCCACCAACACGCCATCAACCCGCCACCAACACGCCACCAACACGCCACCAACAGGCCACCAACACGCCACCAACACGCCACCAACAGGCCACCAACACGCCACCAACACGCCATCAACAGGCCACCAACACGCCACCAACAGGCCACCAACACGCCATCAACCCGCCACCAACACGCCACCAACACGCCACCAACACGCCACCAACACGCCACCAACACGCCACCAACAGGCCACCAACAGGCCACCAACACGCCATCAACACGCCATCAACACGCCACCAACACGCCACCAACACGCCATCAACACGCCATCAACACGCCACCAACACGCCACCAACCCGCCACCAACACGCCACCAACACGCCACCAACACGCCACCAACACGCCACCAACACGCCACCAACCCGCCACCAACACGCCACCAACAGGCCATCAACACGCCACCAACACGCCACCAACAGGCCATCAACACGCCATCAACACGCCACCAACACGCCACCAACACGCCACCACAGGCCATCAACCCGCCACCAATCACCAATCGCGACTTGATCGTGACCTCTGTGTGACCCGATCGTGACCTCTTAAGTTTTTGAGCAGAAATAAATTGTCATCCATTCATGAGGATAATCTAAAAGCAGAACCAGATTTTTTAACCTGAATATAAAAGCTTAAGGTTTTCTGGTTGTTTTTTGCAGGTTTCTCTGTTTCATAAAATAAAACTGTTTAATAAATGAATTTATTTCTATTCATTAAAATATAAGACAATAAAGCAGTTTGGCTTTTTAGATTTTTATTGAAGCTGTTGAGAAGTAAAACATGAATACAGAGTAAAGTTTGAATGAGGAAGCTGATGCTGGACCGTTTCCTGTCGATGTGAAACCGACTTGCTGCAGCTACTGCTACTGTTGCTGCTGCAGCTGCTGCAGCTACTGCTGCTGGTGCTGCTGCAGCTACTGCTGCTGCTGCTACTGTTGCTGCTGCTGCAGCTACTGCTGCTGCTACTGCTCCTGACTGCTGCTACAGCTGCTGCAGCTGCTGCAGCTACTGCTGCGCAGCTGCTGCAGCTGCTGCAGCTACTGCTGCTGCTGCAGCTACTGCTGCTGCGCTGCTGCTGCAGCTAGTGCTGCTGCTGCCGTTTAGTTCTCACTGATCACTGAGCTTAGCTGCAGCTTCCTGCACTGACGCAGGCTGAGCGGTGAAGACGCCGCAGGTCAAACTCAGGAGGAAACCGATGAACAGACAGTTAATCAGCCTTTGCTGGTTGCAACAAGATCAAAAGACCAAAGAGAGAGCGGAGAGCCGCCGTGAGGGACGCCTGCTGTTTGCCGCGTTTCATGACACAAACCTGCTAAAATTATTAAACAGCAGATCAGAGACTGAAGCAAAACTAGGAGAAAAATAAAGGATTCAGTCAAATGACTGTTAAAAGAATGAATCCAACATTTTGAAACTTGTTCCTGTAAAAACTTCATGTCACAGTTTCATCCCAGTGAACGTATGAAGTCATGAAGTTAAATGTTTCTGGTCAAAGAATTAAAGCAGAAAGATAAACATTATATTTCATAAACAGAAACATCATAACCTCATTTCTCACTTGGTGATTTTCTTTTGCAAACTTTGTTTTGAGACATTTTGTAAGAAGCAAACAAATTAATAAATTTAAGTTGATAAAATCAGGAGAGAGTTTATGCTTTGGTTTTTTCAGAGTCGCTGCTCAATTTAAAAAAATAAAAAAAATTTTATTTTGTAACTTTTAGACTCCAGTTTCGTCCCATTTCTCCTTCTGGTTTATTTTTCATCAAATGAAGGAGATAAAATCTGCCGTGATGCTTCCTTTGTTCTGCAGTCGGTCCGGACGGCGGGCTCACAAGGGTCACACGACCAGGGGTCACATGACCAGGGGTCACACGACCAAGGTTCTGACGGTCAGGATGGTGTTGAAGGCCACAGCTTTGGCGAAGATCAGCCGGACGCCGCTTATCAGCAGCACGAAGAAGTTCTGCTGGGCTTTCACTGGATCCAGACACAAACCAGGAAGCAGATCCACAAAAATATCATTAAAACAGGAGAGTGTGTCCAGGTGTGTGTCCAGGTGTAAACAGGTGTGTGTCCAGGTGTAAACAGGTGTGTGTTCAGCTGTAAACAGGTGTGTGTCCAGGTGTGTGTTCAGGTGTAAACAGGTGTGTGTCCAGGTGTGTGTTCAGGTGTAAACAGGTGTGTGTCCAGGTGTGTGTTCAGGTGTAAACAGGTGTGTGTCCAGGTGTGTGTTCAGGTGTGTGTTCAGGTGTAAACAGGTGTGTGTTCAGGTGTGTGTTCAGGTGTAAACAGGTGTGTGTTCAGGTGTAAACAGGTGTGTGTCCAGGTGTGTGTTCAGGTGTAAACAGGTGTGTGTCCAGGTGTGTGTTCAGGTGTAAACAGGTGTGTGTCCAGGTGTGTGTTCAGGTGTAAACAGGTGTGTGTTCAGGTGTAAACAGGTGTGTGTCCAGGTGTGTGTTCAGGTGTGTGTTCAGGTGTAAACAGGTGTGTGTTCAGGTGTGTGTTCAGGTGTAAACAGGTGTGTGTCCAGGTGTGTGTTCAGGTGTGTGTTCAGGTGTAAACAGGTGTGTGGTGTGTGTTCAGGTGTAAACAGGTGTGTTTCAGGTGTGTGTTCAGGTGTAAACAGGTGTGTGTTCAGGTGTGTGTCCAGGTGTAAACAGGTGTGTGTTCACTTACCTGGATAAATCCTGTCAGGTTGATCATCTGTTAGAGAAAAGCAGAGATAAAAAACTCCTGAATGTCGTCCAGAATCTTCTGAGCCGCACTGACCTTTGACCCTGCAGGTATTTCATACCTGTTTTGTTGCTGCTGGACTTCGCTTCGCCCAGCTTGCAGGAGCTGATGGTGTCGTTGCTGAAGCCGGGGTAATAGTAGGTCTTGGTGGTTGCAGACAGGCGGGCCGGATTGGTTTTCACCGAGACCGGACCCCCCGTCGTTTCCAGAACCATGTCGCCCTCATTGGGACGGAAACCTGCTGCCAGACAGACATTTGGACCCGACTGGGACCCGACTTCCTGGGAGGAACCGGCAGGCTGCAGGCGACTGAGGAGGAAGAGGGTTGGGCTGACGGGGGAGCCGCCTGGAACCAGAACCGGGTCAAACATTAAACAGAACCACGATGGACTTAAAAACACTGCAGGGATTTTCAATAAAGTTATTCAAATAAACTTCAATTATTGATCATTTTCAGGTTTGGACAAAATGCCATGAAACCCAGTTTGTTTTAGAATTCATCTGATTTAATACATTAAACATTAAAATCATCATTTTCACTGTTTTCTGGCTCCAAGGTTTCACTGCAAAACAATCCTAAATATGAAGCTTTGATTTAGTTACATTATCCTGCATTAAACTGATCATTTTTTATCTGGTCAGTTTCATTAGCAGATTTTTTTAAAGCATTTTTTGCATGTTACGTTGAATATTAAACTGCAGGTGATAATTTTCTGGTTTTGCATCAAGAGAAAACTAACAATAAAACAGAAACAAACAATTTATGGTTAAAAACTGATTTTGGTGATTTAATGGAAAAGTGGATTTTTACTTCCATAAAGTTGATATTTATTCACAGATTGAATGAATATTCTGACAAACGGGAATAAAAACAAGTCAGTTTTAATTCCGTTTGTCTCTTTTACTCCTTTTCTGGGCTTCAACCAAGATTTTAAATATTGACATTAATTTATTTGTTCCATTTTATTAAGTAATATAAGCAGTTATGTTTTATGAGCCTTTATGTTCTAAACCATTTTAAAAGTTCACAGCAAAATCCTGGTTTAGATAAATTACACACTGTATTATATTTCAAAGTTTGTTTTATTTTTTAGAAAGTAAATTGATGTAAATTTGTATTTTTGGTTTTTTATAACTTTGATGCACTTCAGGTTCAACTTTTCGCTCCTGGATGATAATATCTCCACTGTGAGCAAAACATTTACAGTTTGAGATGCAATATTTTTATTTGTATCATGTTTCTGATCTAAATTGTGGATTTCACTTTAAAATGACTCAATTATTCTCATAAACCAAATCAATGTTTTTCTCAGACTAAGTTTCAGATCCAAGAGTCTAAAGTTACTAAAACATTCAGAGGTTTATTAACTCATTGCTTTATCTGCATCAATTAAATATATTTTGTCACTGATACTTTAATTCCAACTATTTTGAAACATTTATTTTTGGATAGAAACTCTGCTGCCCTTTATTCAAGCTTCTGGATGAAAAACACATTTTCTTAGAACTGTTTTCGTTATGTGCATTTAAAATGATCAAGTTGTTCTTTTTTTATAAAATGAAAACATTTTAAAGAAAACATGGAACAACTAAAGGCAAGGATTTATTTATCTGGAGTTAAAGCCACAGCACAACATAAATGTTTTTAAAGTTTCGGCTCTTTTAGACGCCATGAATAAATCAGAACATGCCTCACAGCGTTTCTGTCCCAAACGGTTCGTTTGGCTCGTATTTACAGAGAAACGACGAGTCCAGCTCAGAGATTGGAAGATAAAACATTCAAGTTTGAATCTAAAAATGCAGTAAAGGTTTGTGTTTGTGAGCATCAACCAGGCGGCGTGTTTTTTCTTACCTTGAGGAGAGACGGTGAGTTGGATCGGCTTTGCGAACGTCAATGCATCACAGTCTGACGGCCTCATACAAAAACCTGAGAGCCTCTTCAGAGGAGCCCAGCCAGGACGAAAATCCTCTTCCACCACAAACGGTGCAGATCTGAAACCTGGAGCATTAAATGAGTTTGTTAGGACTTTAAAGGGAGATTTTCACCCTGACAAGACTTTGATCAGAAGCAGTGCAGAGATGTGAGCAGAAGAAAAGTGAAGGAAAGTTTCAGGTTTTCTATATGAAGGAGCATGTAGAGAACTGACCTGAAACACAGCTTGGTTCCGGTTGTTTGGGTCTCCATGGGGGGCTTTGAGGGTTTAGCAGGTAGATCAGGAGAGCCTGGAGGTTTTTGTTGCGCTGTGTGTGCTGGTTCAGTCAGAGTGGTACCCCAGTTAACACGGTGAAAAACCGTCCAACAAAAACCTGCAGCAGGAAACCAGCTGAACACTTCCAACTGACAACTCTGCTGTTTCCCTCCATCATCATGTATGAAAAACAATCAATACTGAACTGCAATATGAAACAAAGGTTGGATCTTCATCTCTACCAGAATATTTATTCACGTTTAGTTTGGTTACAAACTAAACGTGAATAAAATCAAAACTGATTTCAAAGTTAACCGTCATAAAACTGATACAGTGTCTTTAAACTTCTCAGGAATAAGTACATATTCAGGGGAACAGCACTGACCCATTTGTGTGGGTCAGATATGATCATCCACACAGAACCGATTACAGAACCGGCTTCAGTCAGCACCGAACTGCTGCTGTTACTCCACCAGGCCTGTAAGTGGCGCTAAACATTAAGTATGCAAATAAAGCAACCGCATAATGTCAGGGAAAAACAAAAACTTACTGGAGATTTGTAGAGGTTTCTGCTGCTGTACCAACACATCAGGGTTTCCTCCAGTGCATTGTAAGCCTGGCAGCCCGCCAGGCTTTACTTAAGCTACACCAGGCTTACCATTGCTTATTTTATTTTTTTATGTTTGCATTTTTTAAGACTTTATAGTTGGTGTTCAGATATTAATCTTCCAATAACACATAATCAAGAGATATTTAAAACTTTCCTGTCAACTTCAAACATTTTAAAAACACGGCGAGCCGCTGGATGAATGACGGCGCGCCCAGCCACCAGGGTCAAGATGTCTGAGACTTCCTGCTCTTGTGATGCTGAAACAGCCTGTTGAACTCTTCAGTGACCTTTAGCGCAGCCAGGGAACAGACTTCAGACTCTCAAGCCAATGTGGACGGCTTGGGAAGGACGGAGCTTTCTGTTCCTTCAGGGTCATTTGGTTCCTGTGACTCTGGGCTTTAAACTGGCTGTGAAACAGTCAGCTTGATTCTCAGGGAAGGTCAGATTTTTCTTACAAATTTCAACAGACAGTTTTCGTCTTTGGGTTTCGTGTGGTTTGGCAGGTGAAGTGGTTCTGTTGGGTCTTCCAGCAAGAACAGAACCGGCTTGTACTTGAATGTTTAAAAGTCCCCTTTGCTTCCAGTGGTTGAGTTTCAGTGTGTCTGGAACCTGGAGCAAAATGTCACGGTGAGAAGTTAACTTTAGTTAATGGATGGATGGGAATTGTAATTTCTCTGCCTGAAACCTCATCAGACAACATTTGACCGTATCTGCAGCGAGTGATGTCCTAAAGCCGGACCTCCACTCGCTGGCGTCTTCCCAACCTGCACTGAGACGACTTGGTGCTTTAAATCAGTTGGAAGCTTTTGCTCTACATAAAGTAGTTTTGCTGACTCCAGTAGCAGAAGAAACATTTAGTCTTCAGTATCTTTACTTTGTAGCAGAAGGAGCCGCTTTAAGTTGAAATGTTTAGTGTAATGCGGGTCATTGGGACACAACCAATCAGGTTACAGTGATTATGTCAGTAATTCAGTGTTTGCTTCGTCTGAAAAGAGTTTAGTTTCCAAAGTTCTGCATATTTAATAAGAATTGGAGGAATCAGAGAGCTTTGTGTTGAACATTGGACCGTCAGGTTCATCGTGAGGCTCAGAGGTTTTTGTCAGACGTTCAGGCTGACTTCAGTCACTGTGGTCCGTAAACACGCTGAGAAACACTCATACAAAAACTGTTGAATTGTTTCTCTATAGGAGCGTCGCAGCAGCAGCTGAAGGTGGTTTGAGGTTTTTCATATCGAATCGTTGTGGCTGGATTGAAGGGAGGAGGATCGTTATCTACTCCAGCTTATCACACTGCAAAAACATTTTGGTCTAGTTTCTAGAGAAAATAACTCGGCTCACCTGAAATCAGACTAACTAAAACAGAACTTTTCAGCTAGAAAGAGGAACTTGTTTCAAGAACAACTCCTTAATATTGACAGAAATGTACCAGTTCCATTGGCAGATAAATGAACTTCTAACAAAAAATGTCTTATTCCAAGTAAAATGATCTGCCAGTGAAACTAGTCCTTTTTCATCAATAGCAAGGAATGGTGTATTTAGACACACTAGATTACTGTAACGTAGTACACTTAAACCAAGTCAAAATATATTCACACTAGAAATTAGACCAAAATACTTGGTAAGACTGATATTTTAACTTCAGGCAGTCAGTGAAAATCTCTATTCCTTCAGCAGTAAAGCAGCTTGATCATAACAGGACCAGAAGGACCAGAAGGCAACAGGACAGGAGCAGGTTTCAGGTTTCAGGTCAAACTCTTGAAGGGATGCAAAAACTAATACTTCAAAAACTAATAAATGTCATTTATCAGCAGAATCCCTGCGCCGTTCCCGTGTTTCCTGCGTCTAAAGATCCGTTCCGGTTCCCGAACCGAAGATCAGAGATCCGACCTTCAAATACTCCATCATGATTTGTGCTTTTAATGCGTCGACAGTTTTGTTGTAGTCATGTGGTGTTGACCACAAGTTCTCAACCATGAGCTCCACACTCTGACCCAAGTTCCTCAACATGAGCCTCATCATGAGCCTCATGTTGAGGCTCGTGATGAGGCTCATGATGAGGTTCATGTTGAGGTTCATGTTGAGGCTCATGATGAGGTTCATGTTGAGGTTCATGATGAGGCTCATGATGAGGTTCATGGTGAGGCTCATGGTGAGGCTCATGTTGAGGCTCATGATGAGGTTCATGGTGAGGCTCGTGATGAGGCTCATGGTGAGGCTCGTGATGAGGCTCATGATGAGGCTCATGATGAGGTTCATGTTGAGGTTCATGTTGAGGTTCATGATGAGGCTCATGATGAGGTTCATGGTGAGGCTCATGGTGAGGCTCATGTTGAGGCTCATGATGAGGTTCATGGTGAGGCTCGTGATGAGGCTCATGATGAGGCTCCTGTTGAGGTTCATGATGAGGTTCATGGTGAGGCTCATGATGAGGCTCGTGATGAGGCTCATGATGAGGCTCCTGTTGAGGTTCATGATGAGGCTCATGATGAGGTTCATGGTGAGGCTCATGGTGAGGCTCGTGATGAGGCTTGTGATGAGGCTCCTGTTGAGGTTCATGATGAGGCTCATGATGAGGTTCATGGTGAGGCTCATGGTGAGGCTCATGTTGAGGCTCGTGATGAGGCTCATGATGAGGCTCGTGATGAGGCTCCTGTTGAGGTTCATGATGAGGCTCGTGATGAGGCTTGTGATGAGGCTCATGATGAGGTTCATGATGAGGCTCATGATAAGGTTCATGGTGAGGCTCATGATGAGGCTTGTGTTGAGGTTCATGATGAGGCTCATGATGAGGTTCATGATGAGGTTCATGATGAGGTTCATGGTGAGGCTCATGGTGAGGCTCATGTTGAGGCTCGTGATGAGGCTCATGATGAGGCTCGTGATGAGGCTCGTGATGAGGCTCCTGTTGAGGTTCATGATGAGGCTCATGATGAGGCTCATGATGAGGCTCGTGATGAGGCTCATGATGAGGCTCCTGTTGAGGTTCATGATGAGGCTCATGATGAGGTTCATGGTGAGGCTCATGGTGAGGCTCGTGATGAGGCTTGTGATGAGGCTCCTGTTGAGGTTCATGATGAGGCTCATGATGAGGTTCATGGTGAGGCTCATGGTGAGGCTCATGTTGAGGCTCGTGATGAGGCTCATGATGAGGCTCGTGATGAGGCTCCTGTTGAGGTTCATGATGAGGCTCGTGATGAGGCTTGTGATGAGGCTCATGATGAGGTTCATGATGAGGCTCATGATGAGGCTCATGATGAGGTTCATGATGAGGCTCATGATGAGGCTCATGATGAGGCTCATGATGAGGTTCATGATGAGGCTCATGATGAGGCTCATGTTGAGGCTCGTGATGAGGTTCATGATGAGGTTCATGGTGAGGCTCATGATGAGGCTCATGTTGAGGCTTGTGTTGAGGTTCATGATGAGGCTCATGATGAGGTTCATGATGAGGTTCATGGTGAGGCTCATGGTGAGGCTCATGTTGAGGCTCGTGATGAGGCTCATGATGAGGTTCATGATGAGGCTCATGATGAGGCTCGTGATGAGGCTCATGATGAGGCTCGTGATGAGGCTCATGATGAGGTTCATGATGAGGTTCATGGTGAGGCTCATGTTGAGGCTGGTGATGAGGTTCATGATGAGGCTCATGATGAGGCTCATGATGAGGCTCATGATGAGGCTCATGATGAGGCTCATGATGAGGCTCGTGATGAGGCTCCTGTTGAGGTTCATGATGAGGCTCATGATGAGGCTCGTGATGAGGTTCATGATGAGGTTCATGATGAGGCTCGTGATGAGGTTCATGATGAGGCTCATGATGAGGTCTCAGACTAACTGCAGTCACATATTAATGTTGTATTTTGCATCAGTTTGACTTTGATAAATAAAGAAGCTGACTTAAATAAAGAAGCCGAGTCGAGGAGAACACGGTCCACATTTATTTAAAGGCTAATTCCAGCAAATCTGAAAGTCTACAGAGACAAACACAAGAAGTCAAAGGTCAGACCTGAACCAGAACCCCAGGCTGATGTTCCAGCCCAGCAGGACCAGAACCAGCTCCGACCCGCTCCTCAGGTCCGCTCAGGCAACCCGTCTTCAGATGAAGCAACATGAAAAGCACGATCACAGAAAGTCTGAAGAAAACATCCCAAGGAAAAAAACTGGTTTGTTTCCAGCTGGACGCTGGCCTGAACCGGGTCCAACGGGTCCGCTCTGACTGGATGGGAGACACCAGAACCGAGCCTCGAACTGCAGAACTTTCAGGGCTTCAGATAAAACCAGGTGATTTTAGCTCAACTTTAAAACGAAGTGAGCAGAAAAAAACTGATCCAACATTATTCCTGATGGTTCCTGGAACTGTTCAGACAGAAAGAATCACTTTAATAAACCAGTCAGCAGATCAATAATTAATAATCCGCTGAGCTTTCAGAACCGTCTGATCATTCGATTTTTTTTTAGATATTTTCAAATGAAAAGTCACGTGACAAAAACTGCACCTCATTTTTTCATAACTGAATAATTACAATACTGTAACAGTTAAATAAAAAGT